TGTGTGGCACCAACCCTCGGGGGGGGGGGGGGGGGGGGGGGGGGGGAGCTTGTCGGGATGCAGGTGGCCCTTCAGTGATCTCTTGGTGTCCCTCTAAATCTTCAAAAAAATGTATTTTGTACTACTTTTATTATTTTCTCCCTTAACAAAGTTTGAGTACCTATAATCAGTAAAGAGTGTCATTGTTGATAGTCTCACCATTTGAACCAATAATTTAAAGCATTATACAGACACACACACACACACACACACTATATAGGTTGAACCTGATGGACCTGTGTCTTTATTCAACCTCCCCTACTATGTAACTATGTACCATTGTCTTGTTTTAGCTCAGAAATGTTTTCAAACCAGCTGACACCACTTACTGTACAGGAAAAGTATATCTCTGACTGACAATTAAAGTGCATGCTGAGGAGCAGCAGACTATTGAGGACATTCCTCTGTTCACTCTGCTTTACTCTCCTACCAGCATCTTCCTTGTCAACACATCTGCATGCTGGACACCTGACTGGCTTCCAGTTCTGCCCCTCCCTTTCCCAGTTTGAGCGCTGTTGTAAAGGAGATTGCAAGAGGCTTATTCAATTAATTCAGATACTTAATTTGGTTGCATTTTTAATAGGGATGCACCAGTTCCGATACTAGTATCGGGTTTGGTCCTGATATTGAGTATTTGGGTGAGTACTCGTACTTACCCCGATACCGGAACTTCTGGTCAGAGGGAGATCTCTGACCAGCAGTGCCGCAAGGGAACATTACCCGCTGCCTGGCTTCCTGATTTGTCAGGAAGGCAGCTCCATGCTGTTTGGTCGGCCCAATGATGATTGGCCTGGGAAGCTGGCTTAGCAGTCAATCAGCATTGAGCTGGCCAATCAGGAAGCCGGGTGGTGGGTAATGGCCCACCTCCCAGCTTCCTGATTGGCCGGAAAGCCAGTTTCCCGGCCAATCAGCATTGAGCTGCCAAACAGCATGGAGCCAACTTCCCCACCAATCAGGAAGTCGGACGGGAGGTAATGCGCACAAATGTGCAAAAGCTATGCCGCCTATGTGGGAACCTGGCCTAACAGGCCCACAACTGAAAACAACAGAACTGGGGCCTCTCTGCAGAGCCGCCTGATGAACCATGCCTGAAGCTGGAATCAGTGGTCTGAATATCCACCTGGTACTGAGAGCATCTGTGAACAGAAGACCAGGTAGCAGCATTGGAAATCTGGGAAACAGTAGCCTGATACTTCAAAGCCCAAGAAGCACTCACAGCTCAAGCAGACCGTGCCCTAAAAGGAAAGGGTGGAACCAGATCCTTGAGACCATAAGTTTAGATGATGAGTGACCCACTGAGAAATGGTGGAATGAGAAACAGGCTCCCCTTTATAGGAAATATCATTAATAACTAAGTGAGAGTCAGTCTTATGAATGGACACTGTTAGGTAAACCCGCACTGCAAGAATTACAGTACATCCAGACAATGGAGTGAGATCTCCTTCTGATGAACTGGAGCTGGACAGGGGGTGTTAGGATGATGTCCTGGTTGAGGATCCAGGATGAAACTATTTTAGGATGGAAGGAAGTCTTGGGTCTCAACATCACCTTGTCCCTGTGAAAAACCAGAAAGCGTTCTTTACAGGATACGTTTCTCAGATAATAGGCTTGCAAAGGTGACGGCAACAAGGAACATACTGTAACCTTTTGAGTGAGAGTAGAAAGGAGGATATTCCTGATTGGTTCAAATTGTGTTTTTTTGGAGTGTTGAGAGAAATAAATCCAGATTCCAGTGAGCCACGTTAGAGCACGGGGGGAACCACATGAGAGACACACTGTACAAAGATCTTAATCAAAGAATAGCAAGTCAGCGTTCTCTGAAACAAGACTGAAAGCTCTGATACCGGACCCTTGATGATACTAGGGGCCAAATTCTGATTAGGACCTACTTGCAAAAAGGCCAGGATTCATCTCACAGAGCATTTTCTCTGATGAACGTTTCCTGCCTCGCGCCTCAGTATGCGCAGGTGCCGCTGTCAGAATACAAAACTCACAGCAAGAGATTTGTCCGTCCACACTGTTCAGTGTGGTTTGAGGAATCTGTTATATTTTTTATGTTCAGCCCACAGGTTGAACAAAAAAATATATAATAATATATATCCAATTTTAGCAGCTGAAGGCTCAGAGGCCACTGAACTTGCCAGCAGATCAGATAAGGGTAAGACATGGTCAGCAATTAAATACCCATGAAATCCTGCATGACTAATAAAATCCTCCCAGGACTGAGCTAATGAGGGGACCATACCCAACGGAGCCAGTGAAGGCTCTAAAGAAGACTCAGACTCAAGCAGAGAACAAAATTATTGGCTGTCAGTGTCAGACACCTCTGGGGGCACCCTCCAGGTAGCATCAGAACTGTTAGTGTTGCATGAGCTTTAGTCACCTGGGACAACAGGACTGTTCCACAGGTCTCCAGGATCTGACATGTAGCACCGCAAGGGGAGGAAAGCATAGCTCAGGTCCCAAATACTCACAAACCCAGCTGCTAGATAGCAGAAGAGGGCTTGGGACCCGAAGGTGACCAAGTCACTGTAGATGGGCAGCAAATACGAACCAAGGGCAGCAGAGACGAACCAAAGAGAGTTATATGTGTCACTTGCAGCAGTGGGAAGGTGCTTATCCAATGCTAAATGGCAGGAAAGAGAACATAGAGCATGTGCAATACTCCACCCAGCAGATGGCATCAGTGCTCGATTCCTCAGTGTTAACCCCTTCTGCAGAAAAAACTATGGAAACTGGGAATATGAACCGAGTAACGAGGTTGCCTCCAGTGCTCAGCCTGCACAACCTACTCAGAAAGTGAGTCTTCAGAGACAGGGTCACACCTTGGGCTGTGCCATGTTTGGAGACAGCTAACAACATGTTAGCTGTTAGAGGGATTATAATACCAAAACAGTGCTGGGAAAATTGATTAACATTTTGAAAAAGAATCCGTCAATGCAAGTATTTTAATAGACAACACTAATAATTACAAGGTTTTTTAAAACATAAACATACCCACAAATAGGTTATTTACTGATTTGTTTAACGAGTGTATCTAAAAAAACCAAAAACCTCTTGTAGTGTGTTGTGCCCGGTTCTAAGAGCCCTGAGAAGTAACTATCGGAGATGCTGTCTAATCATAGCAGGCATTTGTCAGAGAAAACAAACTGTTACCTTTTTCCTGTATGAGTAAATTATGCAGAGTGATCAGCATGTACAAAGAGCATATACTGCAGGAAAGAAGAAGTCAAGTCATTGATGCATTGGTCTGTATCCAGGTGTCAGTACCTGAAAAGATAAAAAGTGTGGTGGAAAGGCCTGTAGAGCAGACAAGGCTGTGCTGCACACCACTCCTGTGTGCTCCTCTGCATATTGAAGTAGAGTAGGGATGGTTTCAGGTAGCTGAGCATTCTTCAAAGCTAGAAGGTATGTTTTCATCTCAGTCTCGTCCTCTGCATTATTCAGCCCTTCCAGAAGTATGACCTTTGCCAGTTCAACATCCTGCAAAAGCAAAGAGATAAAAGCAACACAGATTTATTAGAGTTATTTATCAAATGCCCAACTTTAGTCAAAACTTCTTTCTTTAGTTCTGGAAGGACTGGAAAGGGTTTTTAATTTGTGTTTTTATTACCATTTAGGAGATTTTGCTTACCTGTCCTGGTGTGTAAGGGTGCCACTATGAAAGGAAGCAAGGGAAAAATCTCCCCCAATAGGGACACAAGCGCCAAAAAATCTTAACATGGTGATCTAATCCTTTCTAAGTCTATCCATAACTACATGGTTTTGGCTGGTTTTACCATTAAAAGTACATTCTAGTCACACTTACATTTTTAACATGGCTGTCTAGACCATGTGGATTTGATTTTGCCACTGCTTGGGTGCACCTATTGAGTAAAATCATCTGCTTGCTATATCCCATGGAAACACCTAATTCTAAGGAAACGCTTAGTCCATTTTTACCTCCAAAGGTCTAGGCGGTAAGGGAATAGAGAGGCCAGGGCTTTAACTTCTTTGGTTCACAGATGGGTAGGGCACTATTACATTAAGAGAACAGCAAAGTAACAGCATTCTACCCTTTAAGTTCAGATGATGTATATCAAACAGACAAAACACAATTGCTATACTTCACCTAAAAAAATGAGCTTTTTGGATTTCCAGAATGCTGTCTGTTATTCTGTTCGCTTGTTGAACACCCAATTGCCATTCTCACTTTGGAGGTATGTTAGCAGGGTGGACTCTCTTGTGCTATTGCACAAACAGCATTAAACAAAAGATAGGTGTGGTTTTGTAGGCATGATTAAACCTGTCATGCAGGGGAAGGTAGAGGTGTAGGCCATTTGCACAGGAAAACAGCACTGGCCTTTTAAAAACATTAATGGTAATTACTTATGAGGGGGATCAAAGCAACCAAATTAAAAGGCCAACCTAAATCTTTGGTCCAAATGTAAAAAATAAAATAAAAAATAAAACACTTTAAACAGTAATTCCAGTCAAGAAGCAAAGTCAAATGCTGCGATTGTGCAAAAGTCACGTAGAATCCAGAAAACATCTCACAGAATTGTGACCGTTAATAATATCCCATCCATCATTTACTGCCATGGATGACATATTATTAACAGTCACAATTAACCATTACAAACTAATACTTTGTAAATAAATGCCGGTTTCCTCGTTAATCCCGTCTGTGCGGCACTAAAATTTTAAACAAGCAGCTGCCTGAGTCCCGCGCTTGCTGGGGACCTCGGCAGCCTTCCGGTTAATCATGCGGTGCCATGGCGGTGGGGAATTGGGGGGGCCCTTCATGGTTTCTTGCACCGGTGCCCTGAAGGTTCTAGTTACGCCTCTGCACTTGCACAAATCTTTTTGTTCGGTGTCAGCTGTGAGTGAATTCCAAGAAATTGATGCATGCATTTACCTCCAAAACCACTAGTTATGGTATAAAAAGGATATGCTGCAGACATGTATGTATATCCTATCCTTAGTATATACTTCACTGACCAACACTGCATCCACACACTTCTCCACTGGCCAACACTGCACCCACACTTCTCCACTGGCCAACACTGCACCCACACCTCTCCACTGTTCAACGCTGCACCCACACACTTCTCTACTGACCAACATTGCACCCACACACTTCTCCACAGGCCAACACTGCACCAATACACTTCTCCACTGTTCAACACTGCACCCACACACTTCTCTACTGACCAACACTGCACCCACACACTTCTCTACTGACCAACACTGCACCCACACACCTCCACTGTTCAACGCTGCACCCACACACTTCTCTACTGACCAACATTGCACCCACACACTTTGACTATTGACTGCCACTGCACCCATATAATTTTCCACTGTTCAACGCTGTACCCACACACTTATTAACCAACATTGCACCAACACACTTTTTCAGTGACCAACACTTTACCCGCAAACTTCTCCATTGATTGTTGCTGCACCCACACTCTTCTTCATTGACTGCCACTGCACTCACATACTTCAGTGATCAACACTTCACCAACAAATGTCTCCATTGGCTGCCACTGCACCCATAGACTTCTCTAGTGACCAACGCTGCACCCACACACTTCTCCTCTGGCCAACATTGCACACATAACCTTCTCCACTGATATCAACTGACCAACACTGGACCCACAAACTTCTCCAGTGACCACCACTGCACCCGCAAACCTCTCCACTGACCACCACTGCACCCACAAACTTCTCCTCTCACCAAAAGTGCACCCACACACTTCTTCTCTCACCAAAATTGCACTCACACACTTCACCACTGGCCAACACTGCACCCACAAACCTTTTGCAATGCTTTTTGCAGTCGTGTAAGCATTTCACTGCATATCATACTTGTACGATTGTGTATGTGACAAATAAATCTATCTATCTATCTATCTATCTATTTAATAACTGACACTGCACTGTGTTGATTTCTCATGTACCACTGTTGCACTAGGTGTGCTGCACTGTATATTGCATTCCCCAGACTGCAGAACTCTGTACAATGCAGTGTACATTTATATCTCTAGTCATTTTTTAAGAGCTTGGAATTTCATTACATTCATACACATTTGCTAGTACATATAATTGAAAGTATAGTTAGGAAAATAGAACATATTAAAACATTTCTGGAATTAATAACAGTCATGGCAAAAACAACAGTTAGGGCTTCAAGGGGGATGCCAATCAAAACAGAAAGTCTTAAGGAAGTAATGCATGGCCTACCTTATGTTCACAAAGGTCTGCTCTGCAGAGTTTGCCAATAATTGCTCCTGTTATAATAATTCCTGTTTCCATAATGGCTGGGTCTGATACTTTCCCTTTGAGTTTTTCCTGGTAATGAAAGTCATTTCTTGGTTAGATCAAACAGATCACTAATCAATAATCATAATACATGAATAATATAGTGCTAAATATCAAATAGATCACATATAACCAATATAATTAATAAATACTCATAAATAGTAAAACGTGTCTCTCATTGTAATATCTCCAGTAGAGATTAGGTGCAAATTGGTGATTAAAAGTCCACCATAAATTGAATTTCCACCATTTCTTTATGGTTATTGCCTAGATAGCACCAGGCAATGCAGCCAACATAATGGCTTAACATCTTCTAATATAAAATCTATATATAAATTACAAAATAAGAACATGCTGCTGCTTCATAATTAGTCCCTCATTTCTTAACATGTAAAAATATTCCTTGATGGAAAAACGGTCCTTCTTACTGTGTATAATGATTATAACGTTAGATTTATATGACATACCAGCACAAGATTGAGGAGTTCCGTAGATGGGTGAGGTGCAAAGGCTGCTGAATACAGAAATTTCTCCTGTAACTTGATTTGTTTCTTTTTGGTAAAATCCAGGAACGTTGAGAGCGATGATAGTGTAGCATGTGACTGGGCTGCAACTGCAGCATCAATGAAAAATGGGCTAAAACATAATATACATTTTATCAGTTTTTGTATAGCAACCAGTATAATCAATGAAATGGAAAAAAACATTGATCGAGTAACAACGGTAGTTAAATCTTAAAAATGAATTCAAGTTCCTTAACTAATAACAAAAATGTATCTTATTTGTGTATCACTCAGCTGTAGACCCTCAAATCATCTCTGAATTGGTACTGACACTGTCCTTCCTTCTGGAGGGTGACTACTTTTGTTCCCCATGGTCCCTGTGTGTGTTGTAAAGTAGCCCACTGCTCCAAGCTCGCTCCTGTGATGGACTACAGTCTCATGTTTAATTTACTAATTTGTATTGAGATTGAAGTCCATGAAGAGAGTGAGCTTGTGGCTACTTTACAACACATATAATAATAATAACAACTATCATTATTATTATTAATAGTTCTTATTAATCTTATTATTATTAATTATAATGAATACGAATGATAGTTCTACATAATGAGAAACAAAAGTAGCTTTAAAAGCTCTCCTGTGGCTTTGCAGTATTTAGGTTCTTTGTACTCAAAGGTAAAATGAGTTGTGTGGAAACAATATGAATTTTTCTGTTTAATCAAAAATATGAATGATCACCCGTTAAAAAATGATTCAGGTAACATACAGTAAATCAGGTGAAGCTGACTGCAAGATCTGTTGAATATCCCTCTTCTTGGCATGCTGAAATGTCTTCACAACTGCATAGAAGTGGTTGACTGTTGATATCTTAGAGGCGGTGAGTTTGGCTTTTTTTCTTTTGGATGTTTCTAAGTACTTCTTGAGCTGAAAGGACAATAAAACATTATAAGTATCTCAGTATGATAATATGAGGAGCACATTGCATGAGCTAGGACCCGCTTTGCTGGCATACTTTATGGGCTTGGGTCTAGAGTAGCACAACCATGTGGAGATGTCCAAACTGTTTTATTTGAAATCGGAACGTCTGTCTCTATCAGTTACTATTAGACAGAATATTGTATGTGGCCCACAGCATAAGGTAAACAGAGATAATTGTGACTTAAAAGCAATAGAAATGCGATACAACTCTGATATTCCCTTACTTGCTGTACAATGCAGAATAGCAAAAAAAGAGGACCAATCCCTAATGTTATTCAGTAATTCTTTCTGTAAGTTATGAAGTTTTCTAATCAATTTTTGTACCTAAAATTATATTTTTAGCTTTCACTAGGCCTGATTCTTGCCTGAGAGCAAATGTCCAAAAACAGACACTTCAGAAAACATAAATGAACATTATGGGGCAAGCTCTCAGATGGGTATTAAGTCAATGTTTCAATATTCTAAAAATAAGCGAAATGTGGCAAAAGGGTGTAAGAAATAATGATTTAACATTCTTTAAATCAATTAACTGAGATATATCTTAAGAGGGAAAGGTCCTCAAAGATGCAGTATCACACTCTATGCACTAAGTAACTATCTCCTAGTACTCACACATGGCCATAATCAATAAAGAGTTCTAATATTAAGGGAATATTACCTAAATGTAGTAACCCAGAGCAACCAATCAGAATCCATCTTGCATTGGTCTGGCTGCACAGCAAACGCTGAAGGATAGTAATTACTCCACTTAAAATGACACTAAACTCAGAAGTTAAATCTTAAAAATGCATTCAAGTACCATTACTATTAACAAAAATGTATCTTATTTTTGTATCACTCAGCTGTAGATCAACTGAGTGGCCACTGCTTCGAGCTCACTCCCATGATGGACTATAATCTCACATTTAGTTTACTAATTTGTGCTCAGATTGTATTCCATCGCAGGAGTGAGCTTGGATTGGTGGCTATTTTAAAACAGGTACAGAGCAAGGGAGACATGTCACAAGAAGGTAATTGCCCTGAAATAAATTTAAAAAAACAGATAGCATCCTCTGCATTTTTTCTATATACTGTATATATTTTATGCATTCAATTTGTATTTTGTGATAAATTGTAAACATTTAATCAATTTATATATTTTACATTTTACCTTTCATCCTGAGCGCTAAGAAATAGTTTATCTTTCCCTTTAAATTCCTGAATATGCCTTGGACTCTGTTTCTAATGTTTGATTGCACAAGATTCTACAAGATTTAGGCCTTACATTCAGACATCTACACTTAAACAATGAAGATAATTTATTATTGTTTGTGCACTTTGGTTTGTAGAATCACAATAAGTATGCGACAGCTGTTTAAAGAGAAAATCTTTGAAAGTTATTAGAATGAACTGCAGATTCTCTCATAAATCATCTTAAATCCCTCACTACGCTATATTGTATTCATCTGCCAAATGACCAGCTTTAAATGTCACAGAATGGATGTGGATCTCCGAATGTACTATTTCGATGCGTCCTAGAAGTAGCTATCTCTTTGGACTTAATGCTTAGCCAGCCTTGAGATGAGCTGACAAGATGCCTAGCCTTCAATTGCCAGAACGTGCAATGTGGAACTGATGACCTTCTTGTGATATACTGAGGTCAGCCACCTGACAAGGAAGTATTTGCAGTGTCTATCCAAGTCCCTAGAATAATTTAACAGGAGGAGAATCAATACAAAAGAGCAGACAATAACTTCATGTCAGTGAAAACACCTAACACTCAGGAATGTAGTCAAGGCAAATGAAAGTATATGAAAACTCTAACAAATAGTTTCTCTTATAAGCTCCCCTGGTCTGTTAAATACAAAATGAGAGTGTTTGTTTTTTTATTTTATTTTTACCTGCTTTAGAAGTGTAAAAAATACCTGCTGGCTTTGCCAGAAATATTGAGAGTTAAAAACTTCCTGTGCTTTCTTCTTGTGCACAACCAGGGATTAGGAGGAGGTGAAGAGGGAGGAGGAGAAGAGGAGTGGTCTGTGTTTTTGTAAGCCATCAGAAATGAAGTAGGCAGGGCTGACACAGCATTCTTTGCAATTCAAAAATACACTGGGTTGTCATGTCAAAGAGGAATTTAGGATCATACTATATTTCTGGCACATCAACAATGATTTTTCTGTACTTGCAGTGTGTTTAAAGCAGAAAACATGGTAAAGTGTGCATGTATTGTTGAGATTGTTGAGAAACAGGATTTTGCCTTGACATATGTTTTAGGATTAACAGTTTTAGGCTTCAAATGGCTATGGTCATTTTAAATGTAATTTGTAAGTAAGGCAGCATTAAGGATGTAAAGCTGCTTTTTAAATAGCATCCCATATCAGAGTAATAATTTGTGGTTAGGTTATTAAAAAATGATTTAAGCTGTATGAGGACCATGTTTTCAGGTTTTATTTCAAATTTACAGTTAATCTGTACTTTGCCCATATGGGTTTACTTTCATGGAGATCATATTTACCTTATTTTCAGTCCCCCATCACTCCGTTCAGTTAAAGGAGGAAACCCCTGCGTAAGAGCCACCAAAGTTGTGGCTTCCGCAGGGCTTTGCACTCCCATGTAACAGGACTGAATAGTCTATCACTGTCAATGGAGTGAGTCACATGCGTTCACATACATAGAATTTCCATGCTGAACTGATTGAAGGAAAGTATGCGGCATGGGATGGTGGGATTAAGGTGAACCTGATGCTTAGCTCTGAATAGGCCACATATTTTGTAGTTTGGCATGCTTATACTCACCTAACTGCAATACAGAAACAAGGCTGAAACGCCGCTTGTCGATGTCTTCTAAGCCAAGATTGCATGTATGATCTGCAACTCACATTTAATTCATTGCAAAGTATTCTGTGTGTATTCTGTGCTTCAACGGAGTCAGACTCTCCACTCTCCACATGGAGAGCACACTAAATGTACATGTGCACTAACTTACACAAAGGTGCATATACTGTATATTGTAAGGAGTCAGGCTCAACTGGTATTGGCAACAGAATACCTTACATGAGAAAGAGATACACCCAAACAGTTCAAGCAGGTTTTGCTGCACTTTTGTTCAGCAAGGCAGCAAACAAACATAGTTTAAATGGAAGAAGGTTTTATACAGGAAGGACAAAGTATAAAACAAACAAAACATCAGCTCATCCAAGCCACTAGTTAAACTTAAGTCCGTTTATAACTAAAAAGGTGACCCCTAATGGGTTTTCTAATTCAAGCAAGCAGCACGGGTTACTTTTTTAGTGTCCTGTCAGCAATCAGCCTTTTCACCCAACAGTAGTTCCCACAGCAGAGCGAGTGAGGGAATTGAGCAAAGCCATGAGCCCCTCTCTGGGTGCATGTGAAAAACCTAGGTGACACATACACACTGTCCACAATCCTACCCACCAATACCTCATTAATTATATATATATATATATACGCACACACACACACACACACACTATATAAGGGAGAGAGATAGAGACAGAGAATTGCTTTCTATATTTTGCTATTCCTCTTTAACAGTTCTGATCTATCTATCTATAAGTTTCCAAAATCTAAGTACACTTTCCTGTTAATTTAAAATGTTTTAATTGCATTTCTGATTTACAATTCTGCCGCATCAGACTACTGAGGTTTAAAATATGTTTGTTCTAAAGAGTATTAATTTGCAGTATCATGAATCATTTTTAATTACGGTAGATCTGCTGCTAGTTATTACCAACCTCAGTAAAATGAACATTTCACTCATACTTCAGTCTGAAACTTAGAAAATATGCATAATGTGCTACAACTAAACATATCTTAATATATGTTATATGATTACATCATATCCTGTACATCTACAGCACAATCATTTAAAAATACAACAACTTAAAAATAATCCTTTTAATTGTTAAAAGACAAGTTCAATAATTTTTTAAAATCCCTCTATTCCCCTAACCCGTAAGTGCATACTTACCTCCTCTGACAGCTGAAGCTTCCTGTGTTGTCTAAATCCTGGCCTATTGTCTAAAATCTTGTGTCGGGCTGCCAGCACCAGCACAATAATGAATGATGGATGATGCTCCTGCAGTACAGGTATGACCCATTCAAGTTTACAGGATGTTAGCATGCAGGTGCAGGCCTAGCTATTAAGCTTGTATATCAGCCTGTATAGCAGAAGGTGGTTGGAAATGCAGGTACAAAGCTACTGCATAACATTCAATTTGTGACTAAAGATCTTTCTATAAACATTCATTTCCAGATTACTTAATAGTACCTGTTTATGGCAATGGCAAAAGGAGGGAAGCAAGAGGACATGCCTGGTGTCAGTATTATTTCAAAGAAAAGATAGGTTATCAGATGGGAGTTTTGTTGCCACATATTTCGTGTGGTATTATTTTGTGCAGCAAGTGCTAGTGCCAATATGTTGTCAAGTGCTAGTGCCACTGCCGCATGGTTTAAACAGGTATTTTATTTTTTTAAATGGCAATTGTTTATAAAAAAAAAGTGCCCTTAATGTCGTTCCATAAAGGTTTACATCTACTTTAAGGTACCTTGAGTGAACTTTTTCTCTTGTTTTGAATTGTATAGAAACTATATATTTTTTTATATTGTAGGAAAAATATACTGTATTTGGTACTGCATCATACATAGTTTTGTGAAGGAAAGTAATCAGTTATGTAAGAGTTTTGCTTTTCTAGCAGATAGGCTTTTGAAAGGGGTCACCAGCAGGGAACACTCAAAGTAAAGTACAGTACTGTATTCAGGGTCATTGTAGAATCCTGCCAAAGTACACATGTGCTGCTAACCATAGCTAATGTAGGAATATTCCAGCTCCAAAACGCTTATTTTATGGGTGCTAAAACCAGACTTAAATTGTAGAAATTATTAGAAATTAGTTTTCACTGTACCAAACTGTTGATCTCTATTTGCTATTGGTTACCTATATCACTATTGTTTGCAATTTATTTAAGCCCAGCCCCAGCCAAAACCTTTTCTTAAGCTGGCCATATACTGCTTGAATTTGGGCCCATTCCTGTTGAAGTGGACGCAATTTAAACTATGGATGGCCCTGTTGGCACAAAGTCCCTGTTTAACCAATACTTTTCTACCTAGCTCAGTTGATTTTTTAAAATTGACCTTTGTCAAGCTGGGTGGAAAATTGATGGCCAAACAGTGAGTTCATCCTACCAGGTGCAGTCAGGTGGTGCTGTTTAAATACAATAGCTGGCAGCAGAGATTCATCCATCCATTCTGTTTATCATGAATGGAGGAATCTATTGATTTTTTTAAAATATTCATCCTGCAAGCTGAACGAAAGAAATCTATGAATGTATGGCTAGCCTTAGTTCAAGACGAAGTGGTAAAGAACGGCTACAAAATTGTAACTGTTGTGTCCCCATTCAGGAGTTTTAAATTACTTCTTGAAAGCTTTCCTAAACCTTTCTCAGTAGTATGTTGAGTGGATTGAATGCTTGTCAAGCTTTGTATAGCTTTGTCTCCTTATTTGGGAAATGTCCTCTCACTTCTGGTTCTGTCTGACACCTGTCACTTAGACAAGAAATAAGCAGAAATTTCCCCAAAAGGGAAAACAACCATAAAATAAACTTGTTAATCAGAAAAAAAGGTTTTGACTAGAGTTTTGCTTTAAATAAGACCTTTGCTAAACGTTTTCCATTTAAACTAACTATATAACAAGCCAAGATAAGATAAGAAAACCAACAATCTTTTCAGTAAAAAAACAATATACAAATGTGCCATAATGAAACTTGCCCCTAACCGATTCTTATTTCTGGGCTTTAAGGGAACATCTGCCCACATCTTATCGTAACTTCCTCTCATCTTTGCATAACGTTTACATTTGGCTACCTACAAATGCATGTGCAGTGTTTACAAATACATGCAAATAAATCCTTTTCTACACAAAAGGTAACCTTATTAGCACTAGAAATACACTTGATTATGTGGGCAGTTTGCTTGATAAGTGTTCTTTAACATTTTTAGTGCATGAGTCATCTATTGCAGTTGTGTGTCTCCTCCATTTTATTGTGATGTTAGTATGTCTATGTGATGAACACTAACCACTTAAAGTGACACTAACCTCAGGAGTTAAACCTCAAAAACTTTTAGTTTACTCATTTGTATTGAGATTGTAGTCCAATCGATCTACAGCCGAGTGATACACAAAAAAGATAAATTTTTGTTAATAGTTATGGTACTTGAATGCATTTTAAAGCTTTAACGCCTGAGTTTAGTGTCACTTTAATATATAGTCATAGACTTTTTTTGTTATGTTAAAAATAATTAGTGCCAATGGTGAAAAAAGTTACCAAAGGGCCCATGAGTTAGAACAATTTTTGGGAATCAATCTAACTACTGCCTAAATTCAAATACGTGTTCACTGTGCTTAGATGAAGAGAAACCTTTGTGGAAGTCTCTCACAGTCAATAATATGCAACTGGGGTCAGACAGTGAACAAGCTCTGCACTCCCACTGGTGTCAAGGTGAACTGGGAAGTGGAAGGCACATCTGTATGTCTTGGTGCTGGGCAGGGAATGAAGGGGGTGCTCACTGTTGGACATCACAACAATATCAAAATTCAGGAACATGGTTGGGCATCGTGAAAAATGCCTCCCACCTCTTATCTGCCCTTGAAATGAGTATCGATAAGGTCTACACGACAACAGGAGGGAGTACCAGCACCCACCCAACCCACATCTAGCCAGATAGTCCTAAAGAGCCCATGTGCAGCACCACAGTCTACACAGATTGTATGTCCATCACTGATTAGGGCTAAGATGAACTTATATTTATGTGGATGTTATGCTCTGTTTCTTATGATCACCATAAGATAACACCCAGCTGTATGTAATGAGATGAAAAAAGGAAAGAAGTAAAACATGTACCTTTATTTATATACTGCATGCTTTGCCAGTGGATGTAATATGTGATGGTGATGAAAGGGAAGACGTGACTCAGATTCTCTTTGTTACCCACAGCAACAATGCAACTGCACCACAAAGCAGAATCTGCTTGACTGCTATGGGTAACAAAAAATTATACAGTAAATTATTGCATTCATTGGATGTGAATTAGGTGTCTCTGTACTTGATATTTTTGAAAACAAATGATGACATTGAACTGTATCAAACTGTATCAAACATGGATAGTTTTGTATTTTTAATACCCATGCGTGCTGCAAAGCGTGTGGCTATGAGTTACATACTGTATTTTCAAGAATCAAGGCCTGAATTTAAAAGTATGTTTTCTGCAAAGAAGAGTCATCAGAACTCACTATAGTTAAAAGATGTAAAGAAAGGGTCACACTTTGGAAAACGTAGTATTATCTCACCAAAGAGGTATCTTCTGACAGTCTTGGAGGATGGCTCTGGAATGGAACCTTGTGGTATTTTTCAGGCAGCTTTCCCAGTACAACCTCAATGCTCTCTCCAACAATCTCTGGAGGGCCAGGCTTGGAGGACATCAGCTCTAACTGTTGTCTAGCAGAACAATAAAATATTTCACCCATAAACAAATGTTAATATCATTATAGCAGGTGATTGTATTTTGGCAGTCATCTTTTCACAGCTAAACTTCGCTCAAGTAGCCTTGCCATTTTCCTAACCCCAGCTTTAGACAGTACTGGACTTTACTGGACAGTAAAGGAGCAAGCAAATTACTAGTGAGTCATCCATGTACCCTCTCCTCCTGTCAGCATGTTCCTTCTCAGCACATCTGCATTTAGCACATCTGATTGGCTCTTAGTGTGGCCCCTCACTCTCCCAGTCTGAGTGTTGCGTTATAGAGAATAACAAGAAACTGATTCTAATTCAATTAGACTGAAGTCTAATTCAGATGCTTACACTAGCAGCATTGAAAATAAATGTTATTATATCTCAATTAATACATATCATGTATACCAATTAATAAATTAATTGGTGTATTTTTTATATCTGTCTGGATTTCAGCCTTTAGTAACAAAATATTCAACAAAGTTATTTTTGAAACATTTCTGTAAAAATGGGGACAAATAAAGCCGTGCATCAGTGCTTTCACAGGGAAGCAGGGGAACTGACAGGGGGTAGTTACCATAACCCAAGCTCTGAATCAGCAGTCAATGTGCTGTACCTACAATGCCCAAGCACCTGCAACTAGCATACTACTACAAATATCTGGATCTTTCCTAATGTCAGCTGCCTGTCATCCTTTGCACAACATCACTCTGACTGCAAGAGGGAGCCAATCAGGATCTGCAACATGCACTTGTACTGACCGACACATGCTGAAGAGAGCAGAGCGAGCAAATCTGATGACTTTTCAGTGTATCACTGCTGCTTCAACGTCTAGTCAACAGGCTGTGAGAAGAGAGGAGAGACCTTTGTATGTTAAACAGAGAAAGTGATGTCCCTCCCCTGACTGCCGGATTTGTACGTATCTCAAAAGTACCCGGGTAGAATTACAAATCTTTTGGCAAATAAGTTTATTAATATGTATTTCAACTGGGTTTTCCTGGATTTCATCTTTTAACTGGGTCACAAGGTGTGCTTGCACACATTGCTCATCTTAAGTAGTTTACATACTATAGACATTGTAATTTATTACCTAGAAGTGATATGAGTTCCAAGGAGCGATCCCAAGTTGGCAGACAAATTATATCTTTCCTGTGAAACAGCTTTCTGGAATGTTGTGCCATTAAGTAACAAATATGCTCTGCTGAAGGAGTTCTGAGATACCTGAAAAACCTTTAAAAAAAATCAACATAAACTGTGTGCAGTACTTGATAGGTATTAGTATCTATAGTAATTATTATTATTATTATACAGGATTTATATAGTGCCAACAGTTTGCACAGCACTTTACAATATAAGGAAGACATTACAATTACAATACAATTCAAGACAAGATGGTTAGGAGGGCCCTGCCCATGAGGGCTTAGTAATAGGTTATCACAGACGTTTATTGCTGTTTGTTCGCCTATTTAGAAAATGTTCATACTTTCTGATCTGTCACCAGGACAGGTAGTAGTTGTACATTTTTGTAACAAGGACACAACAGTACGAACCTGGCAGATATTTTAAAACCTCTCTATTCTATAAAAAACTGAAAAACAAAAAAGTGAGCTAGCAGGCCAAATGAAAGAGAAAGTGGTTGGTGAGTCTGCCCGCATAACAGATGGAGAAGTGTCTAGTTGAAAGTAGTGAGAGGAATAGAAGGCTTATGAGGTAATTCCAGTGGTCTGTGGTCTACCACAGCTGTGGTCTGGCGCAGCTGTGGTCTTAAAACGTGGAAGAAATACAGTGAAGGAGGCTAGAGCTATGATCTACCAACATGGAAGGAGTACAGTGAAGGAGGGTAGAGCTATGATCTACCAACATGGAAGGAGTACAGTGAAGGAGGGTAGAGCTATGATCTACCAACATGGAAGAAGTGCAGGGAAGTAGGGTCAAGCTGTGTTCTATCACCATGTGAAAAGTACAGGAAAGGAGGGTGGAGCTGTGGTTTCATAAGTGAAGGGAAATGATGTGGGTAAGGCAACATCATGATTCCAATAAGGAAAGGGTCATGGCCAGCCATAGTTGTTATTGGCAATGTGTGGCGCCATATGGTAGCTCTATACAAGCATGTTTGCTTTATTCATTCTGGTTGTGTCCTTCTTCACAGCATTAGATTTAGTGCTAGAAAACGGGTGCACTTTAAACCTGCAGGATGGAATACTCAGAATTTTTAAAGAGGTTTTTGCACTTTAATGGAGAACATGGCTGGGTTACAGATCCTATTCACAAAGAGTTTTGCTGGGCACCCTGAGCTGATAGAAATTATGATTTTTCATGTCCATGTCAGTGGAAAGGAATCTGTCTCCTATGAGCAGGAACTCTCCGAACCAAATTTGTACAAGTCCAAAGCACTTATTTGGTTCGGAATATGATATATTTTATACATATGCTGATGTTGAGAATTTAGTAGAATTTAAACACCTGCACCTCAGGTGCCTAATGGTAAATGAAGCCCTGATCTCTCTTAGTAATAACAGCAAAAAACCTGCTGTGGCAAGGGAATCTGACTCACATCCACATTCAGAAAGTTGCTGACACTACTGCCGTGCCCAGCTGAACCAGTATATACTTTCTCAATCATGGGTCCAGCATTCTAACACCGCTGTCATTGTAAGTCATATTTGTTTAATAAACTTCCTAGTCTTCTTGGAAATGCTGCGTGAACCTGTTTATGAGAATGTACACTCTTAGTATGATCTAAAGGTTGGAAACTGTCTATGAATAGTTGGTGAATGGTGTAAACACTCTTTTAGAATAGGTGAAACATGTTCTTTGTCTACTTGTGAGGAGTTGTTTGCAGGTTTAGCTAATTTAGGCTATTTTTAGGTCTTACTGGTATCAGCATTCAACAACTAATTTCTGAAACCTGAAAACTATCTGACTCATTGACGTTTCAGGCCTATCCTGCTGTTTCATGGATAAAGTCTCTGCCAAAACAAAGTCAAGGTCCCAAAACTTATCCATGAGTCTGTTCCCAGTGAATTCTCTAGAACTAATTTTCCAGGAGCAGAGATGACTAAAAACATATTTTCTGCACTTTAAAATACTTTTTAAATATCTTTATATCTTTGTTTTAACGTTTTTCCTAGCTCTAATTCCGATTATGTGGGTGTATTATTTTCCAAGTCTATTTGTACATTTGGCAGGATTAAAAATAACAAAGTAAGGACAATGTTAGAGCTGCAATCCTGTCGCTGGCCACAACAAACCAGTGACAGGATCGCTAAACAGTGCATTTAAAATGTCTACCCGTTACAGGTCACTCTGTCACTGGCTGGGTAAGCGAGGCTTCATTCCCTCAATGGGAAAAACACTGCAGATTATCATTCACTAGCAAGATGGTGATGCCTTGCTCATCCAACCAGTGAGAGGGCGGCCTGTAAAACTATGTCTGCCTTGTCTTGTCCTGCATAGGGATCCTGTTGATTTGTGAGTAAATATAATAACTTGCATCCACAAACTTTTGTGGACTCTACAACCAACTAGTGCTATCTGTTACCATATATTTACAGGCATGGCAGTTACATTTATCAGTGCTTACAAGGCTTAAAATGTTATCTAAAGCCAAAACCTTTTTTTAAAGTTAGATAGAGTAAGGAATAATTAAAATCCATGTCAGTTTTTTTGTGTAGATGTTTTACCTTCATATCCTCTCTTGTAGACACAGCTGGAAGTGAGTGGAAATATCTACAAAGTCAGAGCTGTCACTGGAACAAGTGGTTCTATTGGAAGATTTCCCCTCTATTCCTAATCTGATGTTCAAAATTATGGACTTTCAGTCCTAGTGACAATGGTCATCAGCACCTCCCTCGGGAGGACACATACAGCGATAAAAACCTGAGGTTGTAACCCTTCTCTGCTTTATCCAACAGTAACAAATACAAGTTTTGACTCTACATACACTTTATATAAAATCAGTACATTTAACCATTCAAGGCAAAGCAACAGGTCCGTTTCAAAATGTCACCTTCAACCACTCCCTCTCCAGCAGCACATACCCAGTACTGGGTATGGAGGAGCATATGATAGCACTGGACAGATAATGTAGGTTGATGCAGATATACTGCTGGATGATGCAGATACACTGTAAGTATCTACATCATCCTGATCAATAAACTGTGAGTACAGTGTGTCGTGTTCTATTGGTGGCTCCATGGTGCCCTGCAATCATAGTCTTTCCTCAGTCTGCGGTTATCTTGTGGCAGACAAAATTAGCCTGCACTTGGGATTTGACCTACGTGTGAACTGAAATGATACACATAAAATTTCCAGAGCTTCCCCTTTACCCTCCCACACATTTCTAATAAAAAAACTGCATTGTCTCCAACCTCTTGCAGGTAGTTAGTTGACCCTCATACTTCTGTATATAAGTTAAGGTAGGAATAGATGGTTTCTTTTTAGGCAAAGTATTTTCAGTTTGTTTTAAGGTAAAGATTGTTTCGGTCAGCACATCGTTTGACCCCTTTCACAGGATCCGATCAGGAGGGGATCTGTCACCCTTGTGACATCTGTGTCTGTCTAGTTGTCCAGTTTAGTTGACCTTCAAATGAAATTACCGGACTAATGTTGGCTGCATGTAAAGGCACTTGTGCCCTCTTACATCAGATTACTCCCGATCTGGCACAATCAGGTCTGATGAAACAACTCAGATCTGTTTGCTTTTCCAGATGTAAATGGATGTGTGTCCATTTAGATCCGTCTGCCCATAGACTAACATTGGCTTTCCGATTAGGTCTGCCTGAAAAACTGACAGGTGGACCTGTTTGGAAAGCCCGCTTGAAAGGGCTCTTTGAGTTAATATTTTAGTGTGCACTTATTTGAAAACAAGCTTATTGTAGTATCTCTATGACATTATGCAAACGTTAACACTTTCCTATGTTGAGACGAATAAAAAGTCCAGGCTTAGAATTGGTTAAAGCTTTCTTGCAAAATCATTTTCTTGTTTTACTTTATATTGCTCTCCATGCTTTCTTGCCTAGTTCTATTCCTTTATAAGTTCCCCATTTCTCATGAATGAAAACAGCACAGGAGGCAGTAATCTCCTTTTACTTCAAGCCATTTCTAAGTTCTTCTAATCAGCAGAACATGTTCCCATAAAAAAGCAGATAATCAGAGACTGGAAGCAGAGCAGGAGAGAAGCACGTTGGATGGCTGCCTAGAATGCAGCTATTATGAAACAGCTGACGCAAGTACTGGACTTCACCTGTCAGCTTGCCCTGACCCTTTCAACTGAACCAAAAACAGTTCCAAAGGTGAGCTAGTGATATGAACCCTGGAGCTGGACCACCAACCATATCTCATGTGGTAAAAACTAAATCAAAGGCAATTCTGTGTTGAATGAAGACCTATTAAGCTGAAACACACACAATTAATATAATAGACAACTTTTCAGAAATTATTTTGCTTCCCATAAAAAAGTGTCTATTTTTCTGCAAAATCTCTCAAATATAGACCCGGTATACCACTCAAACTATAGCTAATATAAGTCTGCAAGATTCCTAAGAAACAAGTGTGGTGGAGGAGTAATGGGATTAATTATGGCTGATTGTTCTATTACTTTGTTTTAACCATTTCCAAAGTATTCAAAGTATTCAGCTTGCCATGAAATGTTAATATATATTGCATTACCTTGTTCCCCCTGATTAACATGCATTTAAATGTTTCACTTTTTGGAGGAGCAAGAGAGCCACCCTTGGACAGGAGCATTGTTACCCTGTAGAACGGGTAGTGTTAGGTTTTGATGGACTTGACTAATAAATTAAAGCCAAAGTAACTGTTTACAATTATACATTATTAGCAGTCACAGCAACAGGTTTTTTTCTTTTTTGGGATAAAGGTTTTACCTAAATGAATAAAAGCTGATCATTATAAGCGCACCTGTCAGTGTTAAAAAGGTTTGCCTCAAACCTCTATCTGCCACTTTGCCATCTGGTCTGGTAAAGGAAGTTGAAAAGTAACAGTACTTACCAAATCACTAGGCGAAAATAAAAGAAAGGAAATCTGATAAAGAAAAACAAAGAAACCCCCCCCCCCCCCCCAACACCCACACAAACCCC